CATATTGATTGTTCTTAACTAATTTTAACTATTTTTTTATTAACGTAATTCGGTTATTTGTCTCTTATAATAAGAAATGGAGGGAGTAAAAGATTTAAAGTTAGGCAAGTATAACTATAATTCGTAAGTTATATAATATATCATCAATACAACAATTGTCAGTATGAATAAAATTGCATTTACCGATTATTTTTAGCCCGGGATATTTTTACCAACTCTTTTTTTTTTTATAAATTAATTTGTACAATGCTTTTGTGAGTACTCAGTACTACACAGGAGAAGGCGTGGGTGAATAGGTGACAGATTAATCAGAGATGTTGACTAAGAGAGAAAGAAGAGAGAGCTGTAATGTATATACGACTTGTGACTTTGGCGGGGCCTCTATTAATTAAAACTGATCCTGTCCCGTGCAGTGCGCCTTCCATGTGCACTTCCTCGCCCCCTCATCTTCTCCTGTCCTTTGGTCTGGGAAGCCCCAGCAGGCTCGCTCCTTCACTTTCTCAGCCATTTCCCATGTCTGTGTTTTAACTGTAAGCATCTCTCCTCTGATTTCTGATCTCTGATCACATGCGCCACACACTTGTACCTTCTCTCTGAAAAGAATGATGAATCAGAGTCTCAGCCTCACAGTACCGTAATTTCACTTTCACATCTCTCTCTCTCTCCCTCTCTCCCCCTAGATATGATTTTGTGGGTAATCTCTCTCTCTCTCTCTCTCTATATCTGAGTAGTTTTAGTTCTTTCCCATTCTTATCAGATTCGTTCTTCTTCAGTTCTTCAGGATCTAACTTGTCTCGTTCTGTTTGCTTTGCTGTGGTGTTGGGTTCGTTTGACTTGTTTGGTTCAGCTAATCTCCTCAACAACATAGAACTTGTAAGTCAATCTCTTGTCTTCTCTTTCTAAAGCTGTGGCTATTGCACCAACGAGAAGATATACTGATTTGTTTTTGTGATTAGTTTAAATACGTGAAAATTCGCAAAGTATGGAAAAAAAACGTTTTAACGTGACAAAGAGGTTTTGCCAATACTTTTAATTAGCTGCTTAAACTTTCCTGGCAACTTTCTGTGAATTCACTTCAACAGCTGATTCTTTCCTCTCTATGGCTCTCTCTCTCTCTCTCTATATTGAAGGGAAAATTTAGTAGTCCTTTGGTGTTACTTAATATAAGTAATTATAAGAACTTTATGTTATGATAAATTTTTTTTTTACATACTCACTTCATGTTTGATAAATTATTATTAAAAAAATTGTTTTTAAAGAATCGGGTAATATTTGGAATTTTGACGTGAGATGATGATATGTGAAGAAAACATATTTTAGTTTCTTAGGATGTTCTCTGGAAGTGAACACTTTAACGATTAAATTAAATGAACACTTAAGCATCAAAATTCAATCCGCAATATAGATCCAAAGTGGAAAGAAACCGTAGCAAGGAAAGGGGGGGTCAATGAAACCGAAAAGCATAAGAATGATGATTATTTTATGGAAAAAAAAATACTTCCTATCGTGCTAAAGCTAAATTCAACGACCAGGTTTGTTTTTGTTCTCAATTCACTTCATTTTATAAATCTGTAATTTTGTTTCCCAAACTCTTTTTTAATTGCAAATAAATATTAATGAGTATCATCTAATGAAAATAGAGTATATTGGGAAATTTAATACACTTTTTTTTATAAGTAACTTAGTTAATTTTCTCAAATTTTACAAATTAATTATTTTAACTTCTATATTTAGGACTATGGGAGTATAATAACAATAATACTATGTATATGTGATCTCTATTATGTTTCGACAAAATAAAAAAAACCTTAAATCTTATTAATTCTATATTAAAATTTAACAGCTTACGTTTCAAAAAAAAAATTTAACAGCTTACTAATTTTATCTTCCTATTTAATATGTATACAATCTTGAAGAAAATATCAATATAAACAATAACAAATACAAAATAAAATAATGTATAATATTAAAAATCTAATAAAATAACATATAAATAGAATATAAAAAAATCTATAAATAGAATCACACTAGTGCTTGTATGTCAGGAGCTTGCGGTTTTGGACTTTTGGTCAATTTAAAGTATATTCTCCCATTGTTCAGATCTTTTTTATTTTTTATTTTTATATTTTTTTGACTTTGGCCCATCGTTCAGGATCACCACTATTATTTTGTCTGCCACAAGGATCAGCACTATTATAAAATATATATGAAATTGAAATCTGTTCGAAAATAACTCAATAACATGATATCTTATGAGTTTACAAGGTCAGCAATTAAAATTTTGTGTAATTTTCTTTCCCAGTTTCGTTTTGTTTTGGTTAATTGCCACGACGATAGTTTGAAATTTCTGTTATTTTTTTAGTCTTTGGTTTGAATATATATATATATATATATCCCAAAATATGAGGGTAGTTGAGATTTGAATAGGGAAAAATCTTTTTTTTTTTTGGGTCGTTTATACTTTATTGTCATTATTATTAATTTATTTGTCATGATTTTTATTAATGTGAATATATTTATGATGAGTTAGTTAGTTGTAGATCTTATAATATTTTTGCACATTCTGAGATTGGAATCTTTCAATAGACTAATGGTTTTGTTTTTGCCAAATAGAATAATGATTTATATATTTAATTCACAAAATAGATCATGTGAAATATTTTTTTTAAGTCAATGACTTTTTGGAAGATATTCATTTTCAAATAATTATTAGTTTTACTTTGAGTCCTTTGTAAGTTGTACTAGTAACTAATAATAATTTGGGAAATAAAATGCATTCAAGTTTTACATCTAGAATCAAAACATTGAGCATGTAGCTGGTGAAATTTCAATCGCAAACTTAATTAGTACTATGGCTATTATTGGTTGTTGGCACAAAAGGAAAAGCTATGGCTAGTGGCGAAAATTTCTTCAAATGACAACCTAAGTAATTATTTAATGACTTAATAAATGAATTCAAATTCATAAATTTTTAGTTTGCCAATGAATTCAAATTCATAAATGAGTATTGGCAAAAAACCAAACTCATAAATGAGGATGGTGTTATTATATACGTAATAAATGATATTTGGTGAAAATAAAATATTTTGTTTGAGGCATATTTTTTTTCCAATGATTTTGAGGCAATATTTTTTTTGGAAATATTTTAAGGCAATATTGTGTTTTTTTTTTGGGGTCAAAAGGAGGAAATATTTATTTATTTATTTGGCCATCTACGTGACTATGTGAGGCCTTTATCGTACCCTATTCTTTCTACTTTATAGTCGACAGATTGCGAAGATAATAACAAAGACATCCAATAATGCCTATAGGCTATTATCACATTAAATAAATAAATAAATATATAGTTTTTCTATAAAAAAAATTACATAATTAATTTCCATATTCAAAACTGATATGTTTCTGTCATAATATCCTTATTTATTTATTTATAGGGAATATTTAATAATTTCTTTTCTAGAATGGCAAGTTGTTTTGGGTTCGTCTCTAGCTGTTTGTTTGTTTGTGGGGGAGTAATAAGAGTACAAATTGTCACGTTGTTTATTTGAAGTGGTTCATTTTGATTTGAGGGAAGGTAGGTGCTTAATTATTTGCGTTTGCCAGCCCTATACTTTGTCTGTATAGTATAAAAAGGGTCATGGTTTAACTTATTTTAATTTTAAATAAATTTGTATAAAATAAATATTTTTATTTTTTGAATTAAAAAAGTGAATTTTTTTTGGTGAATGATCCAGATACAGACAAGATTTTGATAAAAAAAATACCAACAAAATTTAAATTTAGATAATTTAGGTGTTATTATTTCACATTTTATATTTTAAGTTAAAATATTATTTATTTTATGAGTTAATAGTTCTGATATTGATATTATTTTATATTTATATTCTTTGTGGATTAAAATAAATACTGTGATTAAGATCTAATTTCAAAAATAAAAACGGATTTTCAAAACAAGATATATCATTAAAGATCATGCATCAAATTCAACACACTTATGTTTTGGTTGGTTTTACCCTGACTTTATACGGACTAATACATATATTGAGCATCAATTTATTAGGACTCATTTATTCAATATATTAGAAATAGAAATATGTAATATTGATTTAATTTATATTTAATATCCCGTTCTCAGCTTAGGCACCAGGATTCAGAATAAAAAATTGCACAAATTCTCGTGGTCGGGCCCACCTACCTCGAACCTCTCTTCTTCTCTCTCCCTTCCCCGGAGAAAGCCTTGTCATCCCTCATCAGAGCCTGGTTCTCGTTCTCTTCCGTGGAAACTTGTGGCCAAGACTTGTCAAACGTATACTGTCTCAGTTCTTAAGTTTATTTATATATTCTTTATTCATTTATTATTTGTTATTATTAGATTGATTATGTTTTTGATCCTTTGAGCATAATCTAGCATTAAATAATGAGTCTTTTTGGCGCCGCCTTGTTGGATTCTTTTTATTAATAAAAAACGCATTTTCAATTTTTCTACTGTCTATATGCGTGCTTTCTACTTTGTAGTTCTCAGAATTTATGGTTTGCTCTCTCTCCAATCTCATATCCTTGGAGTACCTTTTTGTTTTTGGTAAACCCCTGTTCCTATATTTTTGCTGTGGATAATATGTTTGATTTTGTTTGTTGTTCTGTTTTTTCTTCCTGGATTTTAGTTCGACGTTTTCTGAGCAAGATTTGAAGAACTTTACAAGATTGTGAAAGGCCTCAAAAGGCTGGAATGATAATAATGTCCTCAACGCTTGTTATCTTTCCGCGGCTTTTCTTTCTCTGCTATTCAAACTTTTTCTCTCTCTCTCCGTATTCTCTTTCTGTTATTTTTTCTTGTGAGTTTTCTTGTCAGAGTCGTTTTTCTAATCCCTGTTCATATCTTCTTCATATTCCTCATTATTCACTCTGGTTTGTTCGTTTTTGTCACAGAGAAACAAGGATCTATGAGGATATAGAAGATATCAAATACATTTGGTTTAAAGCTGAGATTTTTCCGCAGAAACATGCCTTTTTCTGCAAGCTGGATCACTTCCCTCTCTTGTTCTTCCCCTGGGAAACAAGTCCCAGGTGGTACGTTGACTCAATGGCTCGAATTTGTCTTCCTCTCTCCATGTCCTCAGAGAGCTCTCATGGCCGCCATTGATGTTTTACTCATCTTCGTACTCTTCGTGCTTGCCGTCAAGAAGCTCTGTTCCAGGTTCGCCTCTAATGGCAGAGAGTCAGCTTCTGAACTTGGCAAGCCCCTTATCAGACATAACAGAGATTTCATCAGAACAACAACGTGGTTTAAGCTAACTCTAATTGTGACGGTTGTTTTGACTATATCCTACGTTGTTGCGTGTGTTCTGGGATTTGTCAGAAACAACCAAGTCGATGGATTGTTTTGGTTAGTTCAAGCCGTGACTCATGCGATTGTTGCAATCTTAATCATTCATGAAAAGAGATTCCAAGCTGTTTCTCATCCTATTCCACTTCGAATCTTTTGGATTGTGAACTTCGTAGTCACTTGTTTGTTCGTAATTTCTGGGGTTGTTCGTTTGGTCTCTGTGGAAGAAACTGAAGCAGGCTATGACTTTAGGAATGATGATACTGTCTGTTTCATCTCCTTCCCTCTTTCTCTTTTTCTCTCTCTTGTTGCCATTAAAGGATCTACTGGGATCAGTTTCACACCCGAAACTGAATCGCTAATTGATGGGGAAACTCATATCAAATCGAACGTGACTGGTTTTGCCTCAGCTTCGTTGGCATCCAAAGCCTTCTGGCTATGGATAAATCCATTGTTGAGTAAAGGTTACAAGTCGCCTTTGAAGATTGATGAAGTCCCATCACTTTCTCCAGACCATAGAGCCGAAAGAATGTCAGTTTTGTTCGAACAGAAATGGCCTAAGCCACAAGAAAGATCGAAGCATCCTGTTCTAATCACACTTCTTCGATGCTTCTGGAAGGAAGTGGCATTCACTGCTTTCCTTGCTATTGTTCGACTCAGTGTTATGTTCGTAGGTCCAGTTCTTATCCAAAGCTTTGTTGATTTCACAGCGGGTAAGAGAAGCTCTGTTTATGAAGGGTACTACTTGGTGTTAATCCTTTTGGTTGCAAAATTCATAGAAGTTTTAGCCACTCATCATTTCAACTTCAACTCTCAGAAGCTAGGAATGCTTATCCGATGTTCTCTTATTACATCATTGTACAAGAAAGGGTTAAGGTTGTCTTGTTCGGCAAGACAAGACCATGGTATTGGAACTATTGTGAATTATATGGCTGTGGATGCACAACAACTTTCTGATATGATGTTGCAGCTTCATGCTGTGTGGATGATGCCATTTCAAGTTGGAATTGCCTTATTTCTGCTGTACAAATACTTAGGTGCTGCAGTCGTCACAGCCTTACTTGGAATTTTGTGTGTTCTTGTGTTTGTGGTATTTGGAACTCGAAGAAACAACCGTTTCCAGTTCAACGTGATGAAGAATCGCGATTCGCGAATGAAAGCTGTTAATGAGATGCTAAATTACATGAGAGTGATCAAGTTCCAAGCATGGGAAGAGCATTTCAATAAGAGGATTATGGGTTTTCGTGAATCAGAATTCAGCTGGCTTTCTAAGTTTATGTATTCAATTTCTGGGAATATTATTGTGATGTGGAGCACACCGTTGTTGATCTCAACTCTAACATTTGGGACAGCAATTTTGCTCAGAGTTCGACTTGATGCTGGCACGGTTTTCACCACAACAACAATCTTTAAAATATTGCAGGAACCTATTAGGACGTTCCCACAATCAATGATCTCTCTTTCACAAGCCATGATATCACTTGGGAGGTTGGATAGGTATATGATGAGCAAGGAATTATCAGACAATTCAGTTGAGAGACAGGAAGGCTGCGATGGACAAACTGCGGTAGAGGTGAAAGATGGCATCTTTAGCTGGGATGATGATGATAGTAAAACGGATTATGATTTGAAGAACATTAATTTGAACATCAGAAAAGGCGATCTCACCGCCATTGTTGGCACCGTCGGCTCAGGAAAATCTTCTCTCCTAGCATCAATTCTTGGGGAGATGCACAAGGTTTCTGGCAAGGTATTGTTTTCTTGATGAGAAGGAACCATGATGTTACAACTTTAATAGAGTTATCGATATATATTTGTGTGGCCAAAGCAAAAGGAAATAGGGAACTGAAAAGATTCTGTTATTGCGGAAAAAGTACATATAAATATACTTCTCCTGTTCTTAATATAGGACTTAATTTTTGAGTTGATTTTAGCCCTAAATATAAGATCTATTTCTCATATTTATTAGTTTTTTCTAAATTATTCTTATGAATAGTCCTTCAACCATGATCAAGTAAAAAGAGAGGGAGGATATTAATAAAGATGATTATGTTATTTGAGAAAAAACATGTCATATTTCTTATAATTAATTAATTTACCTAACTTTCTTAATTTAATCAAATTAGTTAAATAGGTCTTATATTGAGGATTGGAGGAATACGTCAAATGATCATATTAAATGCTGACAAGCCTAACAGAAAGTTAACAAATAATCAAATATTCTGTTATTGTTTGTGGTAGGTTCGAGTTTGTGGGAGTACAGCGTATGTAGCTCAAACATCATGGATTCAAAATGGGACGATTCAGGACAACATCCTGTATGGATTACCAATGGACAGACAGAAGTACAATGAAGTTGTGAGGGTTTGTTGTTTGGACAAGGACTTGGAAATGATGGAAGATGGGGATCAGACAGAGATTGGAGAGCGTGGCATCAACCTTAGTGGGGGACAGAAGCAGAGAATACAGCTTGCTAGGGCTGTATATCAAGACTGTGATATCTATCTTCTCGATGATGTCTTTAGCGCTGTCGATGCTCATACTGGCTCTGCAATATTCAAGGTAGGTATTCTCAAACTCAAGCTATTTTTTATTAGTCACTTGCTATATAAACATTCTTCTTGTTATGGCATTTTTCCAAGTTCAAATCCAATGACTTTTTAAACAGGAATGTGTTAGGGGAGCTCTAAAAGCCAAGACTATTATTCTTGTGACACACCAAGTAGACTTCCTGCATAATGTTGATCTTATAATGGTAAGTTTCTTTATTATTGTTTTCAACATTGAATTTGACTCAGAGAGGAATGAAAATATTGATATAATGTTTTGCTTTTAAAGGTGATGAGAGATGGAATGATAGTCGAATCGGGCAAGTATAATGATCTGTTAAATTCTGGACTGGATTTTGGAGATTTGGTTGCAGCACATGAGACTTCAATGGAACTTGTAGAGCAAGGTAAAGAGTTGCCTGGTGAAAATTCCCCAAGACCAGCCAAATCTCCCAGATCTCCAAAGCCAGCTTCTACTTTCAGAGAGACCAATGGTGAAAGCAATTCTCTTGACCAGCCCAAGACTGGCAAGGAAAATTCTAAACTCATCAAAGATGAAGAGAGGGAAACTGGCAAAGTGAGCCTGCATATTTATAAACTGTATTGTACTGAGGCTTATGGATGGTGGGGCATTACAGGAGTAATTCTAATTTCTTTGATATGGCAAGCATCTTTAATGGCTGGTGATTATTGGCTGGCATATGAAACCTCCGAAGAGCAAGCTCGAGTCTTTAACCCGTCTCTTTTTATCTCCATCTATGCCATTATTGCGGCAGTTTCAGTTGTTTTGGTGATATTTAGATCCTTCTCTGTCACCATCTTGGGGCTTAAGACAGCACAAATTTTCTTCTCTCAGATTCTTGATAGCATCCTTCATGCACCCATGTCTTTCTTTGATACCACGCCTTCTGGAAGAATCTTAAGTCGGGTAAGTACTCAAAGGTCAAGGATGCCATGTTACAAGCTAGTACTAAGAAAGAACCTAATCCATATGGATGTTGCAAAACCCCATAATCAATTTAAAAAAAAAAAAACTTTTTTGCGCTCTAGGAAATAATTCCTTTCACATCCTTATCTCATACAGCTTAAAATCACTTGAAAAAAAGCTAATCAAATCAAAACACTAGATATTTGTATTGACTTTAATTTTCCTTATGCAGGCATCCACTGATCAGACTAATGTTGATGTGTTTCTCCCATTCTTTTTGGGTATTGTGATTTCCATGTACATCACAGTACTTGGCATCTTCATTGTGACATGTCAGAATTCTTGGCCAACAGTTTTCTTGCTGATTCCTCTGATTTGGTTGAACATATGGTATCGGGTATGATATGATTGCCTTGTCAAATGGCGAATGTTCATTCCCAAACATGTGTGTATCATTTTTTTTTACCTTAATAACTTTGGTTCTATATTTAATCTTGCAGGGTTATTTCCTTTCTTCATCTCGTGAATTAACTCGGCTGGATTCAATAACAAAAGCACCTGTGATTCATCATTTCTCAGAAAGCATTTCTGGGGTCATGACAATTCGTGCATTCAGAAAGCAGAGGAGTTTTTGTGAAGAAAATGTTAAACGAGTGAATGAAAATCTGCGGATGGATTTCCACAACAATGGTTCCAATGAGTGGTTGGGTTTTCGCTTAGAATTGCTCGGAAGCTTGGTCTTTTGTATTTCCACTATGTTCATGATTATATTACCCAGCAATATCATAAAACCAGGTATTTTTAATCCTCTATTCGAGAAAAAGTTATAGACCAAAGATTTCTCTTTTCTCTCAAAATATTATTGAGATGATAGAGTAATTGGATCTTTTTGTTGCATGATGTAGAAAACGTTGGCTTATCCCTCTCTTATGGGTTGTCTCTGAATGCTGTGTTGTTCTGGGCCATATATATGAGTTGCTTCATTGAGAACAAAATGGTATCTGTGGAGAGGATTAAGCAGTTCACAAGAATTCCATCTGAAGCAGCATGGCGAATTAAAGATCGCCTGCCTCCTCCGAATTGGCCTGCCCATGGCAATGTTAACATCAAAGATTTGCAGGTAGCTTTTATATGACCAAACTGATTATATTTTACAATGAAATTTTGTTTACATTCTGATTACTGTCCTTATATTCAGTGTTATATGCTTAAAGCATGAACGTACATAAAGCTGACTTGATAAATATATGTTTTCTGACCCCAGAAAAAAAATATGTACATAAAGCTGACTTGATAAATATATGTTTTCTGACCCAAAAAAAATGTTATTTATAAAACAAGTTCTTAGTTTTGTTTGATATGCAATCTAGTCTTCAGGCATTGAAAACCATATCGGTCATTGAACTAGTTGAGACAGTGGTTCAATAGTTAGAGGTTCAATTATGATTGAACCAGGATTAACTCCATCATGATTAAAATAATATAATTTAATTAAAATATACAATAGTATTCATATATAATTTTGAAAAGAATACTTTTTAAATAAAAATGAATTAATTCATGAGTTAATTGAGCATTCATGTATAAATCATACATAATCCTATAAAACAAAGTTATTAAGGTGCTAATGTGAATGACTGTTATCTTTTGGCAACTTAGGATAATGTTTTTTAGGCTTTATTAAGGAGAAACTACAAATCCAATGCACCTGTTCAAAATTCTTGAGTGGATTGTCTAGGGGTGGGTTCATCAGTTTATCGGTCTGACCGGTCAACTCGACCGGCTAACTCGAATTGCATTTTAATGCTCTATTGTTTCCTATGGTAATGACTATTATCTGGCAAACAGGTTAGGTACCGTGCCAATACTCCTTTGGTTCTTAAAGGCCTCAACTTGAGCATTAGTGGGGGAGAGAAGATTGGCGTTGTTGGAAGAACAGGAAGTGGAAAATCTACTTTAATCCAAGTTTTCTTCAGGCTAGTAGAACCTTCAGGAGGCCGAATAATCATCGACGACATCGACATAACCGCATTAGGCCTCCACGATCTCAGGTCTCGTTTCGGAATCATCCCCCAGGAGCCTGTTCTTTTTGAGGGCACAGTTAGGAGCAACATTGATCCAACGGGTCAATATTCAGATGAGGACATATGGAAGGTGATTCAATCATCTAGTTTTCATCTTAATGCCCCGTATTTGAAACAAAACTCTTCTCACATACTTACCTCACATATTGTAAAATCATTTAAAATATGCTAATCGAACACCGTGTCTGCTTTCTTTGTTGCAGAGCTTGGAACGCTGTCAACTAAAAGATGCCGTGGCTTCCAAGCCAGAGAAACTGGACTCTTTAGGTTTGAAAGATTCATATGATTTTAGGAGTTCCTTCTAAATTTCACTTTTTCTTTTTTCCTTGAATTGATCATTAGGATTGTTGTGTTATTGAACTGTGACAGTGGTTGATAATGGGGAGAATTGGAGTGTGGGGCAGAGGCAGTTACTGTGTTTGGGGAGAGTGATGCTGAAGAGAAGCCGGCTATTGTTCTTGGATGAAGCAACGGCTTCTGTGGATTCACAAACTGATGCTGTGATTCAGAAGATCATCAGAGAGGACTTTGCAGCTGCACCATCATTAGCATTGCTCACAGAATTCCAACTGTCATGGACTGTGATAGGGTTCTCGTCATAGATGCAGGTATTCATTCATTCACAACACTTGACATTTTAACAAGTTTCTTAAAGCTTGGGGATCCTTGTGTCTTATAAAGGGTTAAATTGTTTGAAATTTTTCTGAGCTTAAAACGTCTACAAGTAATGGAAAATAACAGAGAAAGACTGTGAAAATTATAAATCCCAAATCAGGATTCGTTACAATATTTTCAATAGATTTTGACGACATTAACTTGCAAATAACAACAATTTTTATGAGAATTCTTGATTTAGGATTTTGTAAATTTTACCATTTTTTTTTCTGTTATTTTCCTTGCAAATAACTCCCATAACTTTTAAAACTTAATAATAAATCCCCCTAAACTCTCAAGTATGTGCAGATCATTCGGAACTATCAATTTTATAAATGTAAAAGTTCTTGTAAGGTTTTAAAGGCTGGGAAGGTTATTTACACGAGATAAAGTTCAAGTGAGTTTTGTGTCATTTAGTCTTTGTGAAGGGGAGATATGTAGTGAGCCCCAAGGGTCTTATAAGTCTAAAACCATTCATTTGTGTCTACATCTCTCCCCACTTTACATAAAGTCGAGATTCAAACTTAGTCTAACCTAACTACCATTAGATTAATTCTTGTTATAGTGGATATATATATATATATGTATATATATGAATGATTACATATAGCATAATCCTAAAGTTTGTTTGTGTTTCGTTATGATAGGGCGAGCGAAAGAATTTGATAAACCTTCCAAGTTGCTTCAGAGGCCATCATTATTTGGGGCATTGGTTCAAGAATATGCCAATCGCTCCTCAGAGCTCTGAATCATTGTTCAAGCTTTTCATAAGGGAAATGAAACCTCCTGCTAAAGAAGAGGCCTTTTGATTGATCCTGTGAATTGAAGAGTTGTAGGTAGTGACATTACAAGCAACTAAAAAATTAGCTAATTTTGAAGTGGAATTCTAATTGCATATGGATTATCTAATGCCATTTTCAGATGTTTTTAATTATAGCTTCAAGTGTTAAAACTGACGTCTTTGATAAATAAAAATTGAAATATACCTTTGGCATCTCTATGTGAGCTCTATATGTATGATGTATTACTTTCAGTTTTAAATACGAGATCAAGTCTGTAATGTAAATATAATTTCAAAAGTGGAATGAATGGAACATTCATATTTGTGATTTATGTACATTATATTACAAACTAGATTTTATATTTAGAAAAAAATTAACATGTAATTATGGCAAAAAGAAAAAGTTGGTCAAAATTTCTTGTGTTTTATGCTATCTCCAATCTTAAATAAAGATTTATTCTACAGTGTAATTTATATTATAATCCTCTTTGTAATATAAGTTATATTATAAAGTGAATTTTATATTTAGGGTGGGAGGTAGTGATTGAGACCACGTATATTTGAAACACTCTTTTATATACCATTGAGCTATCTTTTGATACGTTGTTAATCGTAAGATTTCATTTAATGACTTTATTAAGTATTCTATTTAGCCTTCTTTTATTCTTTTTCAGAGGACTCTATACTGTTTGATCAACTATTCTCATTGGTGTCTCTATAGGTCTTTTCGTGATGATTTTCTTATCAATAGTAGTCACTCCAACTTTTTCGCGTATATCTTCATTACAAATATTATTTTTTCTTATATGAATATATATTCATCTCAGCATTCTCATCTCAGCTATAGCTACTTTATGTTCATGTTGTTCTTTTAAAGCCCAACGCTTACTACCATATAGCATTACTGGTCTTAAAGTAGTGCGATAAAACTTTCCTTTGGCCTTATTAGATATTTTTTGATCATATATAGCTCGTGTCGCTTTTCTTTACTTAAACTACCCAGCTTGAATTCTATGACTAACATCACCATCAATTTCACTATTTTTTTTTGTATAATTGATCCCAAATATGTACAGCATGTTTGGATCACTGATTGAACATGAAAAAATGCATTGGAAATTGCACAACATGAGTTGATTGGTGTAGTTAGAGATGAAACCTTGTTTGAATCAACATTTTTTCCATCTAGGCTTTGAAAAAAAAGGCTTGGTACAACAGAAGTCAATTTTTCTAGCTTTTGCCGTTTCCAACATGGAGAGAGAAGATAAAATGAAGATGAAAAGAAAGATAAGGGTATTTAAGTGAGTCCTATCTTGACCCAATAATTTGATTTTTTTTAATTGATCCCGTGAATTGAAGAGTTGTGGTTAGTGACATTACAAGCAACTAAAAAATTAGCTAATTTTTTCCTTACTTTTTTCTTTCCCCTATTTTCTTTCTACTTTTGTATTCTTCCGATTCTTAATATAAGATTTACTTAACTAATTTGATTAGATTAAGGGTGTTAGGTAAGTTAGTTAATTATAAGAAGTATGAAATGTTTTTTTTCTAAAACACCATAATTGCCTTCCTTAATATTCTCTCTCTTTTTTTTACTTAGTTATAGTTGAGAGAATATCTATAAAATTTATTTTAAAAAATTAATAAATATAAAAATAAATTTTATATTTAAAATCAAAATTAATTAAATAATTAAGTTCTATTTTAAAATATAAAATAAATTTTATTTCAATTCATATAAAATATACTAATAAGTGATTTTTTTATAAAAATAAAATTCAATAATTTAGTTTTGTAGGTGCTTAGAGAATATTTAATATTATCTTATATTGTGACCGATTCTAAATATAAAAGTTAAAAAGTAAATTTATTTTAATTCTTAAGATGTTAATTTACTTTTCCGGTTCTAAATATAAGACCATTATATTTAGTACCGGAGGAGTATTTTGTTTTCTATAGTTATAAATATTTTTTAAGAGTGATCTTCATGGTAATTACATGTGTTTAAGAGTTTCCATCATTACAAATAATTAACAAGAGTATTTAAGAAAGAAAATTCTCATTTATTACAAATAACTAAGTCAACAAATTTATTTTAAAAAATTAATTCCCTAGTCCTTGTATTAAAAACTATCACCATAATCCTTATATATAAAAATATAACTTAAGAACAAAAAATTCAAATAATTAAATCAATATTTATATATAAAATGAATATTTTTTTCTCACAAATTATGAATACTACAACTTATCTTTTTTCTCCCAAATTATGAAATACAACAGCTTATTTTTTTTCACGCTATATTTGGATGGGGTGAGTGAGGAATAAAATGAGAAAATAATTTTTAAAAACCTTGAAAATTGTGAAATTTCAATTTAAAATTTTGGGAATCACATAATCCTATGAGGTACCAAAACCTAAATTTGAATATGAAATTCAAGTAAAATTATGAAAATACCACCTTTATATATATAAAAGAAGTAAATTTTCAACTCAAGACTTGTTATTTCACAATCAAAACTTGTTATTTCCAAATCAATTTCAAAATAATGTCATTCCTAGTGTTAAAAAATGTTTTTAAAATTCCTTACTCAAAACTTATTATTTCATTATCACAACAATTGTGTACAAATGAAAGTATTTTGATAATTTTTCTTGAATTTCATAATTCTGTTTTAAGTTTTGGTCTATCGCATGATTATGTGATTTACACAACCCAAATCGAAAATTCACAATTTCCAAAATGTTTTATTATTTTTTTAAATTTTTCTTCCTAATATTCTTTTTTCCCTTACTTTTTTCTTTTCCCCTATTTTCTTCCTACTTTTGTATTCTTCCAGTTCTTAATATAAGATTTACTTAACTAATTTAATTAGATTAAGGATGTTAGATAAGTTAGTTAATTATAAGAAGTATAAAATGTTTTTTTCTAAAACACTATAATTGCCTTCCTTAATATTCTCTCTTATTTTTCTACTTAATTATTGTTCAGAAAATATCCATAAAAATCATTTAAAAAATTTAATAAATATAAAATAAATCTTATATTTAAAATCAAAATTAATTAAATAATTAAGTTCTATATTAAAAACTACTCCCTCCGTTTATTATTATAAGAGACATTTGGTGCTTATGGCATGTTCCTATATATAAGAGACACTTAAAAGTTGTCTCTACTTTTTTGTGTTGATTTCCTATTTTACCCATATTTATTGTCTCCAACTCACACTCTCTCTCCTTTCCACTTCTCTTTCTTTTAATAAATTACCATTGTTCTCTCTCATGTTCTCTCTCCTTATTAATGAGGGTATTTTTGGAAAAAAAATTATACTTTTTACATATTAATTGTTCTTAACTAATTTTAACTGTTTTTTTAATCAACGTAATTCGGTTATTCGTCTCTTATAATATGGAACGGAGGGAGTATAACAATAGTCTTGCGTTTATCGAAACATAGCCGTTTTCCCACTCCTCCAACTTTTACTTTAAAAAAATGAGCTAAAAGTGACGTTGGGAAGTGTGAGCAGCGACCGCCTTGGTGGAATAGGGAAAGCAGTAGGAAGTTTCGTTCACCAAAAAAGAACTGGAAAACCAAAAATGCCCCTCCCTTCAATCATAAAGTCAAGTTGTGTGGAACTTGGCTTCCAAGACATTTGGAATTTGGAATTATCTGTGTTCCGTCAGTACTCTTTCTGTAGAGATATGATATGATTTGATATGTAAATATTATGTAATTATGATTAGGATTTGATAGGATATGATATTATCATAATGGGCCATTAATGCAGAGGCTCCTCTCACTTGTATATATATGTGTATATTCTGATCAATGAAATACAAGAGAATTATTTTCCATATTATTCTATTTCCTACATGGTATCAGAGCGTGGGAATTTTCTCTCTAGGTGTTAATTTTCGGTTGCTACAGTACCGCCGCCGCACTGTTCACTCGGCGTCCGTACAGTGTCCGTACAGTCCGTACGCCTGCACTGTTCATCGACTTTCCGGCGGCGTCCGTACAGTCCGTGCGCTCTGCACTGTTCACTCGGCGTCCGTACAGTCCGTACGGTTTATTACTTTCTGGCGTTCTGTTTCGTTTCTGGCGCATCTCCGGCACGCTGTTTGTGCAATTCAGTTCTGTTTGCAGCTCCTTGTGTAGCTGTTGGCCTTTTCACTGCCTTGGTATTCATTAGGTAATCCAGGTATCGTGCTTTGTGTTCCTGTGTAACACTCTTTCGCATTCCCTTTGGTTAGTGCACTTCATCTATGGCGGAAATTAAATCTGTCTCGGAGCTTGTCCCAACTATTACTAAAATTACTGATCACAAGTTGACTTGGGTAAATTATTTGGATTGGAGTAAAACCATTCGCCTCTATCTGCGGAGCATTGAGAAGGAAGACCATCTGACTGATGATCCTCCAACAACTGATTCCAAAAAGACCTGGTTGCGGGATGATGCACGGCTATTTTTCCAGATCCGTAATTCCATTGACAGTGAGATTATTCCCTCTATTAATCACTGTGAATTGGTTAAGGAACTAATGGATTATTTAGATTTTTTGTATTCAGGAAAAGGAAATATCTCTCGTGTTTACGAGGTCTGCAAAGCTTTCTATCGTTCTGAAAAACAGGATCGTCCTCTCAAAGCCTACTTTATGGACTTTAAAAGGATGTATGAAGAACTGAATGTGTTAATGCCTCTTACTGCTGATTTGAAGGTTCAGCATAAGCAACGGGAGCAAATGGCTATTATGAGCTTTCTTACTGGTCTCCCACCTGAGTACGACACAGTTCGGTCTCAAATCTTATCCGGATCTGAAATTTCTGACCTTCAAGATGTGTTTTCCAGAGTAATGAGAGCTGAGAATCTCTTGCCACCAGCTGCTAGTATTCCTACAAGTGCCTTGCTCAGTAAGGGCACCTATGAGACTCGTAATCCTATTGATAACCGCGGGGGGCCTACCCGTGGTGGTTCGAAGCAAGGGGGAGCCCCTTCTGACTCCAGTGGGGTAGTGTGTTATTACTGCAAAGAACCGGGGCATACAAAACGCACATGTCGAAAACTTCAGAATAAACAGCAACGGAATAACTCTGCCCACGTGGCTACACAAGCCAGTGACACAGTCACGATTTCTGCTGCTGAGTATGCCCAGTTAAAATCTACTACACCGTCTGTGAGTGCCGCAGCTACAACAGGTAATAATGCTACTGCC